AGCAGCTGCCGCAGCAGCTGCCGCAGCAGCTGCCGCAGCAGCAACAGCCGCAGCAGCAGCCGCTGGAGCAACAGCTGCAGCAGCAGCCGCAGCAGCAGTCGCCACAGCAACAGGAGCCACAGCAGCAGGAGCCACAGCAGCAGCCGCAGGAGCAACAGCAGCAGCAGCAGTGGCAGCAGCAGGAGGCGCAGCCAGAGCATCTGGGGCCGCATCAAGCGCAGCAGGAAGCAGCGCAGGAGCAGCAGCAGCCGCAGCAGCAAGCAGATTCAGTTCAGTCTGCTTCTGCTGCTGCTGCTGCCTCTACCAACTCTCGAAGTGTCTCTCCCTCCACTGACGAGGGCACAGCAGCAGGTGAGGGGAGTGCGGAGGGGGCCCCCACGCCGGGGGCCCCTCTGGCTGCATCAAGCAGCCCGGACAGCCCCTCAGGGGCCCCCCCCGAGGCCCCTTGGGGGGCTCCCGTTGAGGCCCCTTCGGAGGCCCCCCCCGAGGCCCCTTCGGGGGCCCCCACTGAGGCGCCTGCGGGGGCCCCCACTGAGACCCCTTCGGGGGCCCCCACTGAGGCCCCTTCGGGGGCTTCCGTTGAGGCCCCTTCGGGGGCCCCCCCCGAGGCCCCTGCGGGGGCCCCCACTGAGGCCCCTTCAGAGGCCGCTTCAGAGGGGGAGGGGGGTGGGGGGCCCCCAGGGGGAACAGCAGGGGGGGCCCCATCCGAAGGGGGCCCCTCTGGAGGTGTAGGATGGAGCGGGTTAGGGTTTTATTTGAAGGCAGTAGAAGAGGGCGTCGTGCCGTCTTCGTGGGGGGCCCTTTTAACAGGCGTTGCGCTGCTGCTGGGTACGGGGGCCCTTGCTGCTACGGGGGGCACAGGGGGAGGCGCTGTCTTTCTTGCTGTTCTCTTGGGGGCCCTCAAACTAAAAGTTAGAGACGCCATTCCCCTCAGCAAGGCAAGGAAACATCCTGCTGCTGCTGCTGCTGCTGTTGCTGCTGCTGCTGCTGCTGCTGTTGCTGTTGCTGCTGTTGTTGCTGTTGTTGCTGCTGTTGCTGTTGCTGCTGCTGTCTTGCTGCACTCTGCTCCCCGTGCTGTTTATGCGGCTGGGGCGCCTGCAGAGGAGTCCCCCCTCTCCCGGCGCTGCTGCTCCTGCTGTTGATGTTGCTTTTGCTGCTGCTTTAGCTTATGGTTCGCTGCTTTTGCTGCTGTTGCTGCTGCAGGTTATGGTTTGCTGCTCAGCATGTACGGGGACCTACATGCACCGCAGGAGAGAAATAAGGGAGGGCCTCTCGGCAGTAGATGAGGTGCGTGTGTGTGTCTCCTCGTCTGCTGCTGCTGCTGCTGCTTTTTGCTGCTGCTGCTGCTGCTGCTGCGGTGGGGCTGCAGCTAGGCTGCATGTACGGTTTGCTGCTGCATGTGCTTCAGATGTGGCTGAACCTGCTGGTGCCCATGGCGCTTAGCGGCACGCTGGTGGGGGTCTTGTTAAATTCGCTGTCTCCTCCGTCTTTGCTGCTGCTGCTGCTGCTGCTGCTGCTCGGGGCCCTTTGCTGCCGCTCCTTGCTGTCAGCAGTCCGCATGTATCAGCAGGAGGAGGAGACACGCAACATGGAGGCCTTTGATGTTGTCTCCTTTCAGACTCAAGAGGTCTTGCGGGGGGCCCCAAGGGTGGCCCCCATAGGGACCCCCAGGGAGCCCCCTACGGGGGTTTGGGGGCCCCCCACTTGTGGGGGAGACCAGGAGCTGCAGTTAGCAGCGGGGGCCCCTCTCTCGCGCTCCAGCAGCATCGACAACAACAACAACAGCAGCAGCAGCAGCAGCAGCACGAACGGCAAGAGTAGAGCGTTGCTGCTGCACTCCGAGGCCATTCACCGCATGTCCCCTTCTGATGCACTCCTAGAGACAAAGGAGACACCTAGGGATTTGGAGCCCCTGTCTCTAGCAGCAGCTGAAGGTGCTGCTGCTGCTGCTGCCGCTGCTGCTACAGACAGCGGCAGCAGCAGCAGACGCAGTGACGGGGAAACTGAGCAGCAGCAACAGCAGCAGCAGCATCAGCAGCAGCAGCAGCTGTTGCCGCAGCATGATTACTTTGTTACAGCCAACATCAGGGGGCCCTCTCAAGATGAGGGTACAGTGGGGTTTTCGGGGGCCCCCCTAGTGGTTTCTTTAGATACAGAAGACAGGCTGCTGCCTATGACGCATATATGCTCGTTTGCTTCTCAGGAGTCTGAGGGGGCCCCTGCTGCTGTTGCGGGGGGCCCCGCATCCCCAGGGGGCCCTCGCTTTAGCCTAGGGCGCGGCTGGTGGCGACGAGCAAAGAGTCTCCTTACTGCAGAGGAGGGGGCCCCCAACGCCGAGTTCCTTGTGGGGCTGCATGCGGGGGGCCCCCATGATAATATTAGCCCCTTTGCTGGCCCCGCAGAGGAGTACTTTGTTCAGCCCCCACAGAGTGATGCATGCGTAGGGGGCCCCTCCTCTCAAGCAGGCGAGGGAGACAGATCTTTAAGATCCCAGCTGCAGCCGCAGCAGCAGCAGCAGCAGCGGCAGGGGCAGGGTGTTTGGTGTTGGTGCGTTGCTGCTGCAGCAGCAGCGTTGCTGCGCCTCAAAGAGACCTCCAGGCGTCTCCTTTCTTCTTCTCCTGTGAGGGAGCCGCAGCATCATATACTGTCTCCTTTGCTGCTCTTCGTTGTTGGGTGCAGCATGGGGACCCACGCGCTTATTGATCGAGGCTGCTGGGGCTCTGCTGTTGCTGTTGCTGCAGCAGCAGCAACAGCAGGAGCCGGCGTCCAGCTGTTTGTCTCTCTTGCGGTGCTCCGTGAGTTCAAGGCTGCGCACCCACACTTTTCGTTTGCTGCTGCTGCTTCTGCTGCTGCGTCTGCTGCTGTACTCCGCCTCGCTAGCCGAGGCCGCGCTCTTGCTGCCTGCTACAGCAACGCCTGCAGCAGAGCTTGCAGAGCAGCAGCGAGGGGGACCCTGAGGGGCCTCCGGGCAGGTGCTCGCCTCCTGCAGCAGCAGCAGCAGCAGCAGCAGCAGCAGCAGGGAGGCCATGGGGTGGCTGATAGACGGCTTCAAGAGAGGTCATTGCTGGAGGCGAGGGGGCCCCCTCTGGGTTCTGTAGAGATGGAGACGTTGTCTGGGGGGGCCCCCGAGGGGGGCCCCCGCGCGTGCGGGTCTCTATCATCAGTTCCTTTGAGCCCTCCGTTTGGTGCTGCAGTGCAGCACGAAGGAGAGAGCACATCAGCAGAGGAAGCAGAGCTGCTGCTGCGGGCGCTGCTGGCTGCACCTGTTGTAGGGATTCTAACAGGGGTGCTAGCAGGCCTTCTCGGTATTGGGGGGGGCCTTATATTTTCGCCTGTGCTGCTGCTGCTGCAGCTAGATCCTGTTGTTGCGGTAGCAACATCATCAGCTTGTGTGGTGTATACTTCCTCTGCTACAACTCTACAGTTCTTGCTGCTGGGGAGACTCTATTTGCTGCCTTGTCTTATCTTCGGCACCACTGCAGCAGCTGCTGCTGCAGCAGGCTGCTTGGGGGTCCATGCAATCCGCAGGCTATGCGCGGGCAGGAGAAGTTTTGTTGCTTTTCTTGTTGCTGCTGCTGTGGCAGTTGCTACTCTAATGACAGTACGGCGCTACTTCACTGGGGGCCCCGTATAACCCCTAGCCTCAAAGGGCAGGTGCAGGGGCTCTGGGGGGCCCCCACGAAACCCAAGGGGCCCCCACAGCCCCTCAGGGGCCCCCAGAGTCCCCCAGGGGCCCCCATGGCCCATCAGGGGCCCTCAGGGGCCGTCAGGGGCCCCTGAGTAGCTCGTTGCGCAGCACATGTTTGGTTATACAGTAGAGACAGACAGTGCAGAGATGTTTTGTACTTTTATTTGGCTTTGAGGGGCCCTTAATGCCCAGAAGCCACAAAGTGTGGGGTTTGCTGAAAGTCCTTTTAAAGGCCCCTTGGGGCCCCCCTAACAAACCCACTCAGGCTTAATTAGGGGGGCCCCAAGGGGCCCCCTAAAGAAACCCACTCGGAATTTTTAGGGCGTAGTTTGAGGAGATTATAGAGATAGAGGTAGGATGAGCTGCAGATACACCTGGGAAGCCCTCAGCTAACAACTTCACTTGCAAGAGATAGCAGTACCGCTAGTGAACGGAGCAACTACTACCCTTTTGCTTGAGAGCGAGAGAGGAAGAGACACCTGGGGAGACACCTAAGGAGACAGAAGGAGACCCTCCTTTGCTGCCAATAGAGGCGCTATAGATAAGCGAAAAGGAGACACCAGGGGAGCAGGAGACACCCAGCAGGAAAGGAGACACCTCAGGGAGCGATAAGGAAACACCCTAGCGATGCTTCAGGCTTTTAAAGCCGTCCTCTTGAAGCAAAGCGTAGAGGAGGAGATGCTTGGACCCAGGCAAAGCTGTCTTTTGAGGGTGTCTCTCCTCTCCCTTTTCTCTTTTCACTCTGTCTCTCTTTGTCTCTATCTCTCTCCGTCTGACCGTCTCTGTCTTTCTGTCTCTCTGTCTCTCTCTGTCTCTCTCTCTCTCTCTCTCTCTCTCTCTCTCTCTCTCTCTC